CTCCTTTCTTTCTCGTTAACTTGTCTCCATCCTTCTGCACATCTTTATCATCGCTACTTTTAGCACTTATGTCTGAGGTGTTGACTGTGACAGTGTTGCGAATCTCCTGTACTGCTTCTTTCATTTTGGTACTAAACACCTGTTTTGAGAATAAAAAGAGTCAGTAGCATTGCATCTTTAAGTAGTTTTGATTGTAGCAAAGGAGGCTGGCAAATAAACAAATACCATTTAATTCAACTGGTATAATTGTTATACTAGCACATTATAGTACTAAATTAAAAAGACATTAAAAGGCAACAATAACAACTATAGAATTTACTAAATTGCCAAAGTTTACCTTAAAAAAGTTTTGTGATTTATCACTCTCTCTCAGTTTATTGTAGAGCATATCCTGAATCTCTCGGTTACCATTTTCAAGCAGTGCTATACCTAGTTCCACTGCCTCTACAAATATCCTGTTGCATTTTTGGCTTTTCATCACTAAGTCCACCACCAAAACTGCTGCTCCTTTCTTGGCCAAGTCACACTGTACCTCTGCTAGCGTTTTTCCTGAACGACGCTGAACTATATCTGTAAGTGGTTTTAAATAAATTTAAAAGAGGCTTGAACTATTGATGACATGCAGCAAAAGAGAAGTGGAAATGAAAAATAATAGGTCTAAGACAGTATACTAACAAACTTATGTCAGGTATATAATTCTTAAGGTGTTTATCATGATAAGTTCATTAATAGAGGTTTAATAAAACCAATATTTGCATTCTTTAACCCTTAGATCCAGATCATGTGACTATCTAGTCATAAAAAAAATTGACCGAGAGGCAGATGACATGAACATGCAGTCAGAAAAAATTTGCTGAGGAAGGGAAAATGCAGTCATGAAAATTTTGGCTGAAGGCCAGGGTGATAGGCAAGACCTGCCACAGGTTCTCAAAACTCTTGGCTGATTAGATTCAGTAGGCATTTAGGAAGGGCATCTTGTATTATTCTAATCAGTAAATGAGTGTTGAATTTACTATCCATAAGCCATGACTGGAAGAGCACTGGTTCCAAGGACACAATCTCCATGCTCAAGACCCTATTCCTGTGATGGCACACATTATATTACAGGTGACTGAATACTAAAAAAATAATAAAAAATGAAACAAATAACAAAATGTCACACACTGTATTACAGGACACTGAATATTACAAAAATAATAAAAGATGAAACAAATAACAAAATGTTACTTATTGATATCATTATTGTACGTACATGCCATGGCTGTTCTGGACAGAAACATGGTTGGCATCGTATCATGCCCATTCCCGCGCCACTGGCTCATCGGACGTACTTTGTTTTTCTCCAATAGCATCTTCATTTATATGGTAAAGATTTTTGGCAATGGCATCTATAATGAAGGTAAACCTTCATAATTATATTATTTTTATAAATCATAGCAAAATGAAAGCTTTTAGGTGCCAAATGTTGCTTGCAAACTACCACTCGAGCCAGGCGCAAACAGGGGAAACTGCCGATGTGCCAACAATCCTGTTATTACGTCCACTTGCCAAATATATTTACCCGTCAGCAATGGGTTAAATAACAAATATAGGCATTAGAAAATTTCATTAAACAAAAAATAATTAGGCAAAAAAAGAGATAATAATACTGCAAAGGGAAGGCAAGAAATCTTGACACTGAACATTAGTGTTCATGTGTGCACGACCTATAAGCAACACCCATGAGAGTGGCTAATCAAGTAAGCCGAATGCCCTAGTTGTGGGTCACGTGCAGGATCTAAGGGGTTAACCCCATGCATCTGGTTGCAATGGTTACATAAGTGGCTCATCCCGGGCGTGCGACACGTAAGCCGGGTGCGCACAAATACCCATGACAGTGACAAGACTCTGTGGCTCCCCTTTGAGAAGTTATTTTGTGAAAACTTTTTTAGCTTTATCACCATTTCCCAATGTCCATACTTGTCTTTTTATTTGCTTTATCCAGACGGTTATTTACTTATTTTACTTGCAAAGACTCTATATCATCTCTCTATGCAGTAAATAGTTCAGCGCAAGAAAAAAAATTATATGGAACATTTGGTTGTCATATCTCATTTTTTATGCAATTTTCAATTTTACGTAATACAACCTGCGCTGCCGGTCACGGTGGCCAGGAATATGGTGTACAGCATGGAAATGGTGTCCTCCTTGGAGCCGGTGCTCTTCCAGTCACTGCTTACGCACGTTACATTCCACATTCGTTTATCGATGGGAATAATGTTAAAGCCCCCTTCTAAGTGCCAAATAAGTCAAATCACACTCCAAGATGTTTGTGCACTCATGGCGAGTCTTTTCCGTCACCATGGCCTTCACTATTGGCGCTTTGTTATTGGCATCAGTATAGTTGTCCAAGTTTTTCCTTGATGTGATCACAATGTCATCCGGACCCAGGGGGTTAATATATCTTCTGATTAAAATTACTGAAGTAAATTTCCAAAGCATTCCAGACTTACCATACTCATACAATAACAATGCTAGAGCAGATACTGATACCTTTATCAATCTCTACCGTAATACATCTGGATATCTAAGTCTGTCTCAATACAACAAAATAAAAAAGTTATAAAAAAAAGTAATAAAAACTGTAATAAAAAAGAAGGAATCAGTGACCATTTAGTCTACCTCCTTGGCTTGGTGACTGCCTTGTGTTGTAATCTGCAGCCTCCCTCTTTGACCACTGGTCAAAATACCTATTCAGAAGCAGCTCTCGCAATGCATCTCCCTGGTGAGGAAAATTTGTTTTAGACTGAGTTTCTCATACAGTTCAACATGAAGTTTAAGCTTTCACTTATTTGACTAAACTCAAAAAGTTTAAAAAAAGATAGAAAGAAAAAAAAATCAGTTGCTGATATCTTATATTTGACACAAAATTCATGAAAGCTATCTCTTTTGCAGATGAATTAATTATATACAAGCAAATATGCCAATCATTATAATTATCTGAAACATATTCACAAATAAGCTAATTCTTCAGTATGATTTATTGCAAAAAAAAATGCACTAATCCTGATTTATGAACAAATATTAAAGGCCAAATAATAATACACACATAACAGGGGACGTATGGCCACATGCGGATGAATGGATGGTTTCAATTTTACATTTGTTACATCATAAGAAATGTAGGCCTGTAGGCTTTCATAAAATAGATATACACTCAATATAAAGTGAAATAAACACAAAAGCCTAGACCTGAATGTCTAAATAAAATGCTCTTGTTTTTCCTATGCATTTTTGTTTCTAATTCATGGGATATATTTATTAAAAATGAAAAACAGGAAATAGTTTCTTTGATAAAGAGGATCATGGCACAAAAAAGAGAAAAACGAATGAAACACTCACTACCAAGAAAACCAACATCTAAAATACAATATACAAAATGTGTAGCTAGCATATTTCCATTGGTTTTAAAACATATGAATAAACAAAATAAAAATACACCTCAAAAGAACTGCATACTGATCAAACTTTAATAAAGTTGCAAAACTGAATCTGCAATATGCTTCAATCAATTATCTGAGCTCATGTCACTTTAATATCACAAAATATCAACAAGTAATTCCCAGTATGAGGTCTTTTTGAAGGTATTTATATATGAGCAGTATGTGCATTGACCTACAATAATGACCTCCAATGCTTCACCCAATGTGAGAAATTAAATTACCTGAGTGAGATACATACTTTATTCCTATAAAAGTGCTTACCACCAAACTGTTACACTGAGATATGTCAGTTACACCAGGCAAAAGATGTCAATTTTTTTTTTTAAGGAATGAAAAAAAAAAAATCTCATGGAGCAAAAGCAAATTCAATGTACAAAATGTTTTACTTATTCATAAGAGAATCTTGAATTTTACTCAATTTCCCCATCCTGCACACACACGTAGCTTTGAGATCTTTCATAAATGAGGAAGAACAAGAGGAAGAAGAGGAATACAAATAATAATTAGGGGTAGGAAAGTAAAGAAGAAAAAGGAAAAAAGAGCAAGTAGAGAAGGATGAGAAAGCAGGAAGAAAAGTAAGAGATGAACAGCTGATATATGCTTTGTATTTCCATTCCTAATAAAAGTATTCAATAATCTGTTTTCATTACTAGATTGTAATGATGAATGATACATCAAAGCCTTTAATATCAGAGGAATCAATATTGCAATATTTTTAAAATTACTTTTCATCATTTCAGCCTATGATAGCTGCAACGGTCACACTAGTCTCCTCTGTCTGAGAATCCCTAGACAGTCATGCCGTGTCCATCAGCTAGAGTGGGAATGGTGTCCCTCCGTGGAGAAATATCGTCCCATAAAAGGCCTTAATGTCTACAGTAATCTCCTGGATGAACTACACACCTAAGATAGTCATGGATTCTATGAATATTATCGGAATAAATTAGATTGAAAAAAAAATCAAGAAACAAGGCACTAAACTTAGGAAAGCATATCAATCCATTTCATTATTTATCATACATCATGTAACCGTGTAAGCTACCACTATACGCCACATTTCAACAGAAATATAAAAGCCAATAATATTCTTTCCAGTAGCACATACATCTATTAGTGTAATCAGTAATGTATAAGTAACTAATCATGGACTGATGAAGACTAAAGTTGGGGGAAGCATATACTATAAATGAAATGGAGTAAAATATCAGTAATTGCTAATTGTGACACAGCCTTGCCAGCTATTTGATAATTCCCCATGCAGACTAAAGTTCCATGTTGATTTCATCCATAATTATTATTCTTAACTTTATGCTATCATGATATTTGTTTCATAAGGGACTTGAGGCATAAAACTTTTTTCACGAGTGAAAATGTCTGAAGTGAGCTCTGTCTCTTCAGCATGTGTATTTGCATTCCTAGATCAAATAAATGTTTGTCTGGATGACTTAAAATTCTAGTTTGGAATCATTATTAGTTGTAATATGTATTATTTTTTCTTACAGTACACTTGTTCATAACATGATACAAGAATGACCATTTAGACTATTAAGTAATAACCTTCCACTACAGTTTTTGCTTTGGCATCATCTTTTCCTCTCTACCTGGAGGAAAAGACCAACGCAGCAGTGCCGCTCTAGGCTGTGATTTTCATCTTGCTTCCCTTCAAAGCTGGGAAATTATCTATGCCTCTAAAGGGATCCTGGGACAAAAGACTAGTGTGACCGCTCCTTAATGAACAGATGTACAGATCCCACTGCTGCCAGGAAAATGTATTTTCACTGTGTTTTGCTTAGTAAAATGAGTTTACACATAGATGGCTCTGCAAGTGCTCAGCAACCAAGGAGTCAATAATAGATTCCATGACCTAATCTGCTTTCCCCCGTTTCATTGAGTTTTCAGGAAAAAAATACTTTAAACTAATACTACTAAAATCATTGTTGTTATTACTTTTATCATAGACATTATAATTACTAAAACATTATTAGCATTAATAATATCAATGTAAGAAAAAAGAGAATATCTCAGAAAATCAACGAAAAGAGTAAACAGGTTTGATTTGTAGTACCAACCATTGATTCCTTGCTGACCAAGCACTTGTGGAATCATCTGTGTAAAAAACAATAAACTAAACTCACTGTGGGCATGGCATTTATGGTGGCATTAGGTTAATTTACTAAATAAATAGGGGAGTAGTAAGAAATTCTTGTCTCAAAAAGCTGCCCATAAACTGTGCTCCAAATGGGTAGAAAACAGAACTACTTATATAATACTATTCCAAATAATACTTTGCAGACTCACAGACACAGACAGATAAACATACATACACACAAACAGACATGCAGACACACAAGCAAACACACAAGCATACAGACAAGCAAACACACACACAAACAAACAAACAAACAAACAAACACACACACACACACAAACAAACACACAAACAAATACACACCAAACACACACACAAACAAACACACACATACACACACACACGCACGCACACACACGCACGCACGCACGCACACGCACGCACACATACGCACACGCACGCACACATACGCACACGCACGCACACATACGCGCACGCACGCACACATACGCCACACACACATGCACACACACATGCACACACACACACACAACCACTCATGAATAAATAAAAAGAAGTCTCTTAAGAAATTAATGTGATGCACATTAAGAACTCTTGCATTGCCATGAAAATAATGGATTTTTTTGCAATACAAACAATACACATGTTAGAATGCTTTAACACAAACTCTGGTGATCAGTGGTCATTGCACAAACCAGCATAGAGACAAGGAAGGCAATCACATTTAAATATCACAATGAAGCAATCCATTAACAGCATGATACACAGTGCTATGTCATGACATATTTTACTTTCTGTTTTGACAATAGAGCAGTCTCTTATACCTTTTGTCTCAAAACACCTTACCAATGATGAAAAAAGTGCTTGCAAAGTACAACCTAAATTGCATATCTCAAATATCCTTAATTGCATATCTCAAGCAATCACAATATAAATATAATGAAAACAATATCAAATACAAATAAATATAAACCATCACATTATACCTATCTCAGATATTCTTTAGGCTGCTATGTGAACTTCCAAATATATTTTTATAATATGATCTTTATCAATTACTAGGTTTTATAACAATGCTAAAGAATGTAAACGTGCTGACAACTTTAAATGCTGATGTGTTTATCTTTTAAACTCTGAACATTTTGGGAATATACCTGTGTGCTATTTGTAACAAACACTAATTTTTTATCCCCTTGCTGCCAGGTGGCATGTATGCACATGCAATGGCTGTTGTGGACAAAATAGTGGGTGGCATCATATAACAACCATTCCCACACAGTTTAGGCAATAGCACCTAAAGTAAAGTTAAACCTTCAAAATTCTTATATCTAAAAAAATTATATCAAAATTCAAGCTTTTAGGTGCCTAAGCTACCAAACGAGCTGGTTGCAGACAGGGGAAACTGTCGGTGTGCGCATGTCCACTTACCAAACTTTTTTCTTTTACCCAGCATTTTAAGGTCAATTACACAAACATGGAAATCAACAAATTTCTAATGATATAAAACATCATCAGTGTCTTCTCGTCTATCAGTTTCAGTACTCTTTAAGATCTTAACAACTGAAGCACAAATATTTTCATAACATCAAGGATCTCTGTACAACTTTGGAAACCTTAGTTCTATGCACAGTGCAGTACTTGTGATTCATTATTTGCCTTTAGTGACTGGACTATTCTGTGTAAAAAATATAATTTTCTTTGGTAAACATTACACATAAGAACAAACTAAAGGCCTTCAGATAATTCCTCACATTAAATGAACAGGATTCTATATAATAATACCGACTTACAAATATTTGGATTAACATTGGGGACATGGGAAGAATAAATACACTGCAGTCCATACAATAGAAATAAAAGAACAGATATCTCTGAAAATGCAAACATCATATGAGGGTTTCTTATATGGGTACCAATGGAGTGCTTTATTAGTTAGAGATCATGAAGACAAGCAGGAATTCAAGGGGAACACCCATCTCATAGAAGGGACTTATACACATATTAAGTACCTAATGACACATTTTACCTCTACTGTAAACTGATTAGTTTTCTCAACTAGGATAGTGATATGCTGATATCTTTTTCCTATAACAACAAAAATTTGTGCAAGATTTTCCCACTCATCATTCTTTAATGAGCCTTCTTAATCAAACCAAATGAGATATACAGGATTTAAAGACCATTTAATAATTTTCAAAACACATGCTATTCTGAAATAATAAACCTACTACTCATCGAATATCATATTCTCATATGCTCATAATCTATTTTTCATATATCTGAGTACTATGAAAATACAGTTTCACATGTAAGCCTTTGTTTCACTAACCCTAAATTTGACAGGCTAGCTTTCCTAAACAAATAATTATTTAAAAAGTGAAATAAAGTGAAACTATCAGATATATGAAAAGCAGGTAAAGATGGGTGATATTGACTTTTTGCAAAGTTGAGTGCTATGGGAAAACAGCAACACAGAGTATTTCCACGCAAGAAGTCTAAATTACCTTTTATTGATGTGAATACACTATAATTGTGTCTACGTGTTCTGGCCATGATCGCATTGAATAGAATCAGCATACTACTAATACCTATTACAAAACATTGCCTATATGCAGGGACATCAATGGTGGGGTTGCCCCCCTCTCCAAGACTGTTGGCCTTCCTCAAGGTCTGGCTTGCCACTCACCAAAGAGCCTCATTTTTTTCTTCTTTTTTTTTTTTTTTTACTAAGTTACTCCTATACAGGATTTGATCATAGCTTTTTAATGCCCTTGGAATATCTTATCTCTAATTTCTATCTTGTTCACTTTGCTTGCCTACCCCTCCTTGCCCCACCCTGCTCAAGAAAATGCTGAAATGACACCCCTGCCTGTAAGAATTATAATTTACTAAAACTATACAAGAATTCATAAAACCCATCATGTTTATTCCCAAGGTAGAATTTTGCCTCAGTTTTTAAAAACTTCTACTTTTGTCCCAACTATATTACAAGTCCAAATGAGTTTTAACACATTCATCACTGTGAAATAAGTGATTAGGGAACATTCATATTTCAAGTAAATCATAATCATGTGGGAACAATAAACATCAATCATAGCATCAACATAAATGCAAAGATTTGTTAAATACAGGATACTAAAAATATTTTCTTTAGGTTTATCAACATGCTTTAGATAAAAGTTTAAACAACTATTAAATCACTTTGTCTTGCATTAAGGTTGCTCAACAAGAAGGAAGTTTCATCCTGTAAATAACAAATCTACACTTCATTCTTACCCTTTCCAGTTCTTCCTGTTCAAAACTTGACTCCCCCTACAAACATAAGAACATATACTTTGATAAGTATCAACTTTTAAATTGTTTACATTCACTTATCCTTGATAAAAAAAATCCTATGCAAAAACAAATAACATTAGCATGAAAGAATCACATAATGGTAAAATAGTGGAATAAAATAATTAAACAAATTGCATATGAATGCGTATATGTGACTTGTGTGTACTTGCATGGGTATGTGTATGTGTTTGCATGAGTGTGTATGTGTTTGCATGAGTGTGTTTGCATGTGTGTATGTTTGCATGAGTGTGTGTATGTGTTTGCATGAGTTGTGTATGTTTGCATGAGTGTGTGTATGTGTTTGCATGTGTGTGCAGTGTTGTTGGTGTTGTTGTGTGTGTGTGTTGTGTGTGTGTGTGTGTGTGTGTGTGTGTGTGTGTGTGTGTGTGTGTGTGTGTGTGTGTGTGTGTGGTGTGTGTGTGTATGTGTGTGTTGTGCGTGTATGTGCGTGTATGTGTGTGTGTGTGTGTGGTGTGTGCGTGTGTGTGTGTGTTGTGTGTGTGTGTGTGTGTGTGTGTGTGTGTGTGTGTGTGTGTGTGTGTGTGTGTGTGTGTGTGTGTGTGTGTGTGTGTGTGTGTGTGTAAAGATAAATAACTTGTGCTGCATGTCAATTGGATCATAATGGTATTACGTGAAAAATTTGTAATATATTGTCCATTCATTGTGAGAGACAGTGGTTCATTGTGATACTCCCTTAAAATATGCATCTTTAACCCACTAGCAACAGTATATTTTGAAGCCGAAAATAATGGTTTCTGGGCGGCTTCAAAATTGGTGAACGGGGCTGGCCTGCAGCCCACAACAGAATCAGAGCACAGCTCGGCAGATGCCCAGCAATGTTTATTTTTCTGGGTGTCACAAATGTGTGACACCTTTCATAAGTGGGCTAAGGGGACCGTCCCTAAATATGTGTGTGTGTGTGGGGGGGGGATTAGGGTGTCATGTAGATAAATATTTCAAAAAGAAAAAAGGCTTACAATTTTCCTGATTTTTGGATATGTGATGTATTTTAATACTCCACATCTTTTGATAACAAATTTATAGGGTTACCCACATAGAGGGCGACATTTCCCGCAAAAAAAAGACATTTTTTAATTCCCTCTCCAGAGGATTATGAAATTATGTCATGAAAAAAAAAAAAAAAAATGTGAATGAACATCAATTAATCCTATCAACAATTATTTTGGCTTTTTGGAAAATTTTATTTAGTTTCCACAGGAAAAAAAAAGGAAGAAAATCATTATTGACCTTTTCTTTGATTGTCAAAAATTTGTATAAAAGAAAGGAAGCAAATTTTTAAAAATCAAATACATACTTTCTTGTTTTAGACCTCTTAAATTATTGTTTTCTTAAGTGTACATTCGTTTACATGTGTATACATGTATACGCAAGTAAATTAATGTAATGTACTTACATTTTCATATGCGTATATGCGCATGTACCCTTTAGACCCGAAATAATTTATTCTAAATATTCATTTTCTTTTCATTCCAGTTTACTCTTCTTTCACATCATCTAACCACGGGATTCTGCCTCGAAACAAACAATAAATGTATAGTCATGAGCGAAGTACTTGTTATAAAGGGACAATGAGTTGTTTTTTGTTCATTTGAAATAACCATTCAGAAAACGTTGATATATCAAAAATATTTTGAAATACAAATTTCTTGTATTTGTTTGTCATGAACACTTCATCTTGTGATGTAACAATAGGTATCAGATATTTGTAAGCCCATCTTAGGAGTTTACATGAATAAATTATATCATACACTGTCTCTACATTAAATCTTTTCATAAAATGGATTTATAATGAAATAATGATGTTTAACTGATTATTTGGTTTCAAATGAAAGCACAAAAGTAAAATGATTGCAATCAGAAAAGTCTTAACACGGTAGCGACACTTGGAACTCCGTTCGCTGGGTCCCTCTGAGACAGCAGTTGATGCAGGTGAGCACCCAGCCCATGTAAATAACTATTCATTACGAGTTTAATCTTAGATATAAAGACTTGTAACTGCTCATGTATTATCATTAAACCCTAAACTTGCATGTATGATGAATATGTCAAAATCGAATCATATCTACTTCACTTTATGGGAAAGAAATTTGAAAAGTCATGTGATTAATTTACGTTATTTCCTTTATTCATATTATAAATCTTTCTTTTTGGGAAGAAACTATTATATGACATTTTTTTCCTCCGGTGATCCATTTCCGGATGTCCGGAAGGGTGAAAATCGCTGACACAGCGGCAAAGAGATTTGGGGTTCTCACCTTGTACACAGCCTAAATTTTTTGTTGCGGGAGTTTATATTCATGTGGGTAATTCTACACTTGTATATGAATATGATACTAACCATAACTCATCCCCCCCCCACTGCCAGGGATGGTCCCCTTAAGGTGAATTCAGAAAAAAAGAATGTAAATAGTGAGGCTGCTTTCCTATTTGTGGCACCCAGCTAAAATCATCAAGTAAGATTTTCCATTTCTTATGATACTAATGACATACATATTTCTTCAGTTTCCTAAGGGTCATGAAATTCAATGCTATTAATAAGAGATTTAAAGTAGAGGATCACTTAGCCCTTCTACAAGCACTATCTTTTTATACAAAGTAAGGAAGGTGCATGTTAATAAATACAAAAAAATATATTTATACTATAAATGAGGATCCTCTGCTCATAATAATCCATAAACCTAAATTTCACTTTATATGTCCATAAAAGTATATTGGAAAGAAAATATAGTGGCACCTGTACTCACTTGAATACAGGAGCTGAAAAGGCTGACAAATTGAACTGAACTAAAATTGATGATATGAATTTTTATTAATGGTGTGGCTTCTTTCAGTAATTTCCTAAGTGAATGATACTTATATTCATGAGTGTAAGTATCCATCCTTGTAGTATATATCTTTACTTTCACATAAAAAATACAAATCACCATCTTTATCAAATACCAAAATATAGTTTTGGAATATAAAATGCTAGGGGAAGTTTTTATCAATAATACTTCTGGCAACATATATTTGCTCTTCAGTATGTATGAATTACATTAGCCTCTCTAAAACAATGTAATGAAAATCATTAATTTCTTATCTACTCTGGAAAAAAGTAATACATTAAGATTACAAATCACACATACAAAAAACCCAAGAAAACCTACAAAGCAAGGCTGTGATTTTAAAATGAGTCAAATAAAAAAACACAATGTCAAATACCTTCTCTCCATACTCTGAGTCTGTTATCATATCCTTGAGTGTCTTCAGAACTTGTATACAGAGCTTCTCATCTTTCTCCTCCAGCAACACCTCACAGTGACGAATAAGCCTTGGATAAAGATAGAATGTTCACTGGTTTCTCTTTATTGCATGTGATATTCATTGATCAACATCATATATCACAAAGAGGATAAATTGATGAAATAATCTTTTACCTTTTGAGTTTTGAGATTTCTGGTCAAGGTAAATTCTTTACTTTATTGATGATTTACAGGAAAAAAATATTTTGGCTATCTTTTATACCCAAGTATATATCTATTTTGCTAATATACACAAAAATATTTTTTCTT